GATATCCTCATCATCCATGTAACCTTTGACTGGATCAAAGGTCTCCTCTCCATTTCCAATATTTGCCTTCATTCCAATCAAATGATGGGCTTCTCTTGCAAGTCGGACGGACTCGGGAATTTTGGAATCCCCAGTAGGCATCTTCATTCTCCTCAATCGATTGAACTTGGTCTTGATGGATTCCTTAGACCTACCATAAAGCCAGTCTTGTCCATGTCTATAAACCACCATGTCCCAATCACTCTTGCCAATGGGGAGGATCTCCTTGATGAGGGTTATCAACAAGATAAGCTCATCTTCCGTGTAGTTTGCAGTACCGCCCTTACAGCCAGTCTTCTTCTTTGTTGATTGACCTCCTGGGGGAGGGACTGGTGCGGCCGCTGGAGGAAAGCCTCCCCCATTGCAGGGAGGGATAGTAGCATAAGGACCAGTACGCGTCGACATCTTTGCCCGTGGAATGAATATTGTGTGAGGGATGTTGCTCCTCCTCGCTGTCTCTGTCTCTTGAGACAAGGCCTCCAGCAAGAGTGCCTCTCTTAGTTTTGATCTACGATATAGGAGAGCAGCAGTCACTAAGACAGGGGACATCATTGTTCTTTCTGTCTTTTATGATGTCTTCCCTCTTCCATCATGGCACCGGCGCTTTATTCATTAAGAAGAAAAGATTTAGTAACGTAGTAAAAATTTATTCCAGTCATAAATTTGGTCGTCATTTCAGTTGAGTCCTACAACGGAATTTGATTCTTGGATTCCGGTCTACATTTAGAAATCTTGAAGGCCGGTGGGGGGGGGGCTTCAAAATTTGGACTAGAAAGTCTAAATTTGGTCCGTCTGTCTATCAAAATTTAGACTTTCTAGACTATTGGGAATGACCCATTGGGCGATTCCCGTTAATCTAGATGGTCTACTTTTTGACAGACAGACAGACAGATCAAAAATAGACAATCTAGTCCAAATTTTTAGACTTTCTGTCAACGCACGATCCACGCTTGACAGAAAGTCTAAATCTAGACCGGAATCCAAGAATGAAAATCCRTTTTAGGACTCAACTGAAAAGACCTGCCTGCGCTTGCGCTCTTTTGAATGCAGTCTTAGTCATTTCTGTTGAGATTCCAAATTCCTTTGAGACCAGAAAGAAGAGCGCCTAAAAAATGTCCGTTGGGCCCCTKTTTTTAATGATTCCTGTTAAACTAAAAAGTCRAAAATGTCTACTTTAGATTTTTAGACCATCTATATTAACGGGAATCGYCCATTACCAGTAACCCYACTAAGCTGCGTACTACAGTACGGTACTACTAGTATTTTTAATTAGGTCTTTTGCGGTACGCTGCAAGTGGAAGTYGAACCAGACCTTGTTTCTACGTAATTTGTACATATTTT